AGCAGTGGGAGCGGCAGGCCAGGGGAGAAGCAGGCTCCCCGCTGAGCAAGGAGCCTCTGGGATCATGACCTGAGACCAAGGCAGCCACTTAACTGCTTAACGGACTGAGCCACCCAGATGTTCCCAAAACACGGTCTCTGAAGGGCAGAGAACAAACCAGTGGTGTCCAGAGGGGAGGTGGGTGGGGGCACAGGGGAAATAGGGGATGGAGATTAAGAGGACACTTACCGGGGCACCTGGGTGGCTCAGTGGGTTAAGCCTCTGCCTTCGGCTCAGGTCATGGTCTCAGGGTCCTGGGATCGAGCCCCGCATCGGGCTCTCTGCTCAGCAGGGAGCCTGCTTCCCTTCCTCTCTCTCTCTCTCCCTGCCTCTCTGCCTACTTGTGATCTCTGTCTGTCAAATAACTAAATAAAATCTTTAAAAAAAAAAAAAAAAGAGGACACTTACCTTGACAAACACTGAATAACGTACAGAGATGCTGAATCACTATATTCTACATCTGAAACTAAAAGAACACTGTGTGTTAACTATACCGGAATTAAAATAAAATAAAGTTAAAAAAAAAGAAAAAAAAAGTGCCCAAAGGAGACTGAGAAAGAACAAACCAGTGTCCTGCGTGCAGGGGGGGCGGCTAACAATGACCAGCCCCATGCTGAACCACTTCCCTTGGATTCACTGAGTTAGAAGGTGCTGGGGGGCTGGACGGGCTCTTCCAGAGCCACAGTACAGTGGGGGAGAGGGAGAGGTGGTTGAGAAGATGGAGGCAGCACAGGATAATTCATTCCAGAAGTTTGGAGGGGAAGGGAAAGGACATGAAAAAGAAGTACCCAGAAATGTAAAGGGAGTCTAGGGGAGGGGATGTGGTCTTAGGATAGAAGAGACTCCTCTCGGGTGTGTTTCCGGGCTGGTGGGGAGCATTAGCTAAAAGGGGGAGAATTAGAGAGGGGGTGAGGTCCATATGGAGCCCCAAGGCCTGCCTGGGAGGAGGAGAAAGCCGCTGAGTGGCTTTGAAATAGTGTTTTTCAAATGTGAATGGGCACACCCATCACACTTCTCAAATCTCCCCTCTCCTCCCCAGGTTCAAGTCCGGGCGTCACCCCAGCCACCTTCAGAGGCTCAGCCTTGTGGGGCGGTCTCGCCAGACAAGCGGACAGGAGGGGGCTGACTGAACAGAAGGAAAGAGAATGAGCCGGTGGCCTCTGTGAAGTCAGGGGTTGAAGCACTGGGAGGCAGAAGACCAGCAAGCTGCAGGAGGGGCCCTAGCGGGACCCTTGAGGCTGGGGTTCCAGAGGGGCCCATTCAAGGGAACAGAGAACACAATGGGGTCCCGATGAAGGTCACTGAGGAGGTCAAGGAAGGGGGTCGGCGGGTCATTTACATGGATGATCAGAGCAGTAAGACAGATCACCTGACAGAAATTCTGAAACCCAAGTCCCTGCTGGATGGTCGGGGGTGACCGGGAAGGCAAGAGGCCAGGGTGATGAGAAGGGCTGGGAGAGCAGAGTCAGGGGCCAGGAGTCTCAGGGGGGAGAAAATGACCTATGCGTACAGGAGAAAACCCTCTTAAGTGTGAGTGTGTCTTGTCTGTGAGGGCAGGGAGGACTGTGGGTCATTCAGATTTCTTCTTTACACTTTCCTATGATTTCCTCCAAGTTTCCTGCAATGATCTTTTTTTTTTTTTTTTGTAGAAATGTAAAAGATAGGGGGAAAAAAATACAAATAACAAACGCCCCCATTCACAGCATCTAGAATCCGTCATTGTAAACATCCCCCAGTCCCCTGTGAGTCCCTCCTCCCCGCAGACAAGCAAGATCAGTAGGTTTTTGTGTTTCGCACACGTGTACAGACACCTATGGTAGAATTGCACACGTGTATACGCACACATCAAACAGATGGTAGGTTTGTGCCTGAGTGTTTCATTTACATGGGGAAGTGTTCCAGTAATGGCTGGTGTGTAGCGGGGGAGTAAGGGTTGGGAAGGAGCAGACGGGGCTGAAGCCCTCTCCAGTGGAGTGGCTCAGCAGGGAGGAAGGGGCCCTGGAAGCCCCAGCCTTCAGTGCTGGGCCACACCTGGCTGTTAACTGTTCCAGAAAGAGGGGGAGTTACTACTTGTATTTCTCTGGCCAGGTTTCTACGTGCTCTCATGTCTCGTAAGTCATTTGCACCTCAGAGATCTGGGAGGCAGGGAGGCAATCATTATCCCCGTTTGACAGGTGGGGAGACTGAGGCCTGAGAATGGCAGAGAGCTGCACTGATGTCACAGTGAGTTGGTAGAGGACAAGGGACCAGAGCTTGGCCTAGGTTTCTTCTCCGAAGCCCAGGCCAGTGCACGGAAGGGTGGGGTAGAAGCAAGGAACACTGGGTGGCTTGGACTTTGGCCACTTGGCAATAAGGAAGGAAAATGGAAATAACTTCAGGCAACTAAGGCTGGGGCATGGGAAACTGGGAAGAAACAGATGGTCAATTCACCCTTCTCAGAGGTCTCGGTGAGCAGACCCACCCCTGGAGGTTGGGGCTCCTTCTCCTCCCCCACGGTCCCCTCCCCAACTCAGGAGTCTTCACAAGTACACAAGACTCAGCCCTACCACTGACACACACTACGTGATCTTTTTTTTTTAAGATTTTATTTATTTATTTATCGGAGAGAGAGAGCACAAGCAGGGAAAGAGGCTGGCAAAGGGAGAAGCAGGCTCCCCGCTGAGCAAGGAGCCTGATGTGGGGCTCTATCCCAGGACTTTGGGATCACGACCTGAGCCGAAGGCAGACGCTTAACTGCTTAACCAACTGAGCCACCCAGGTGTCCCTGCTGTGTCATCTCTGAAAAGCCTTTTACCTGTCTGGGCCTCGATTTTCTCATCTTTAAAACAGGGTAATAACCTTGAGCTCAGTATTGTTCCAAGGATGGAAAGAGAGAACCCTCCTCTATGCATCTGAAAGCAGAGACCTTGAAGAGGCCTGAGTCCCCAGCCTAACTCCCAGAAGGCCCAGATGGTCTTAGTGTCCAGGGAACTGCCTGACACGATTGGACAGTCCACACATGCTCAGGCACAGGAGATCTGGCATCCGCTTTGCAGGGACGGATGGGCTGTCCAGCACGGTCCCTGGGAGGTAGCCTGTGTCACAGATAGTTGTTGGTGGAGTGGGGCAGGGTGGTGGCAATGAGGGGGACTTTTCTTGCTCTCTTTGTAACAAAAGCAAGACATGAATAAGATGCATTGTAGACTCCTACAGTATAGCCCCGTATAAAACAGCCAAATCTTTCCCTCCCTCTCCTTGGGGGCCACCCCCTCCTTCGGCTGTCACTTTGGTGCTTTGCTTGCTGTTAGGAATGGCTCGTCCATAACCATCATTAAAGGCATGCCCGTCTTTTGCACTTTCTGGTGTGTAAGATGAAGACCTAGAAATTGAACTGCTGGGTCGCAGATGCAAGTGTTTGACCCCTTCAATGCAGGTAAGTACTGCCCAGTCGCCCTGCGAAAAGGTTGCCTCTGAGGACACAAAAATCCAAATGCCAGCCTGGGAGGGGATCAGCCCAAGGGTTTCTTGTCTTCCACCCTGAGAGGCTTTCTCCCTACACTTCCCCTGCTGGGCATGGTCTCCCTTCAGACTGCAGATAATGGGGAAGCCTGTCTGCTGGGGGTTATCAGACCAGCCTGCCCCACTGTGGCCAACACCCAATGGGGCTCCCCAGCCCCAGTGTCAGATGGCCCCACTCGCACCTTTGGCTCTGTGTGCTGACCAGGTGTCTGACACACAGAGCACATGGCTGACACCAGTACGGGTGTGCAGGAGGGGACACATTCGGTGGACATTCAGTGGACATCCGGTGCTCCACGCAGCAAGCCAGCCCCTGCCCTTAAGGCTGCTGCCCAGTGGGGTAGGAGTGCAGACCAGGAACTCATGCTGCCTGGATACCAGGAGAGGGCCTCCCAGAGGCCTGCTCCAGGGGCTGAGAAAGCCCAGGGAGGCAGCCACCGCACGCCCCCCCCCCCCCGGGGGGCAGCTGGGCACAGAGACCTGAATGGGAATCTGGGGTCCCCCTTAGCCATCACTTCCGGCTGAGTGCTCTTGGGGGGTCCCCTTCTAGATGCGGAGGAGGAAACAGGGGAGGGCAGGGTCCATCCTAGCCCAGTAAAGCGGCTCAGTAACCAGCAACCAGGATAAGTAAAGCCCCCACTGTGTGTTTCTGCAAGGTCTACACTTGGTCTTTGAAGGTACTCTAGAGAATTTTCTAAGTGTTTTCTTATCTCTCTCTTTTTTTTTTATCTCCTTTTGTCTCACCACGGCCTTAAAGGACAGCAATTGTTATCCCTGATTTTTCAGTAAGATAAAAGAGAACCCCCACCCCCATCCCCAAGACAAAAATAAAGCGCCTTGCTCGGCGTCTGAGGACCGAAGCCTCCCAGGACTGGTAAAACTAAGGTCCAGGGAGGGAAGGTGATTTGCCTGAGGTCACACAGTAAGTCGGGGGCAGACTCTAGTTCCCCAACCGCCGCGGCTGCCGCTCCCCATCTTCTAGAAAGAAGGAGATTTTCAACCTTCACCCTGGGGCTGCCCCGGCCCACCGGGTCACGACAGCCACAGCCCATACGCACGAGGGCCCATCCGGAGGACGGCGCCGCCTCGGAGCCTCAGTGGTCATCTGTGCAATGGAACCACTGCGGAGGGGTGGGCTCGGGGGTAGGGGGGAGACGCCGAGGCAGGCGACCCGGTGGGTGGGGCCAGCGCCGTGACTCAGCCGGGCGGGCCGGGAAGGGCTGCCCGGCAGGTCCGACCAGCCCGGAATGCAAACGAGCCGCCAGGGCCCTCCCGGGGCTGGGCCGCCCGGGGGGTGACGGGAAGGGAGGCCGGGCGCCGGCCAGCCCGCTGCTCCGGGCGGGACGGAGGCGTGGCGCGGGCGGCGCGGGCGGCGCGGGCGGCGGACCGGCGCGGAGCCTGCGGACCGGGATGCGAGCGGGGCCCCGCCGGCCACGGCACCCGGAGCCCCGCTGAAGCGGCCGCGGAGAGCCCGCGCGGGAGCCGAGATGTGTCTGCGCCTGGGTGAGCCGCGGCGGTTCGGCCCGCGAGGCCCCCCAGCCGCCCCAGATCCTCCCGGGGGGCGGAGCGCTGCGGCCGGAGCCCGGAACCCCGGGGTCCGCGCCGCCTTCTCTGCGGGTCGCTTGCCGCTCTCGGCCTCAGTTTCCCCAGCAGGAAGGAGGAGGGAGGAGGGCTGCTGGTTTCTTCTCGAGGTGGGGTAGCGCCTCCGCCCCTCCCCCCCTCTTTCCTTTCCTGGGGAGGAAGGAGCCCCAGGCGGGAGGAGGAGAGTCCCTGGGGGAGGGAGCAGCTTGCCCCGCGCCCAGAGAGCACGAGGGAGAGCGGAGGGATAGAGATCCAGGGCCCAGAGAGTTCTGACCCCGAGGCTCCCTGCCCTTTCCCCTCCTCAGCCTTGCAAAAGGCTCCCACTTCCAAGCCTCTGCTCCTCCTGCCAGGTGGGGATGGAAGGGCCTTTAGGAAACAGGAGCCAGACAGAGTGGGACCGATGTGCCCTCTCCCCTCGCCCCCTACCCACAGCGATGCTGGTTTTGGGCATCAGACGGACCTGGGGACCCCCCCCCCCCCCGCACTCTCTGTGAACCTCAGTTTCCTCATCTGTAAAATGGGGATGGTAGCACCACCGCCTAGGACTGCTGTGAGAAGGAAGTGAGCTCCCAGGAGTAAAGTGCTTCCCACTGTGCTAGCCACATTGCTCAGTGCTCTAAGAATGGTCACTTGGAAACAGAGAGCCCAAGATTGCCCTGAGACTGCGTCCAGGGCTCCGGGCACAGCCCTGCACTGGCACCGTGTCTCCGGTTTGACGGGAGTCTGGGTCCTAGGATGTTGTTGTTGTTCATGAGCCCAGCCCTGAGCCAGGTGGTGTCTGGGCTGCCAGGTAGGTGGGTGGATGGAGTGAGGTGGGTCAGGCCCCTGGGATGAAGCTTCCTGTTCAGCTGGCAGCTAATCTCCACGGCGGCATTCCAGTTCCACGGTGCCCGTCAAACCCATCATCCGCCCTCGGCTCCCAGACCTGGTCCAGCTCCAGAGGGCCCTGCAGGCTCCAGGGCTCTCAGACACAGCTAGGGCAGCCCCTCCCCATTTTATATATGGCAAGGTCACACAGAAGGGCTGTGAGCCTGGCCCTACCCTCCCTGCTCCCTAAGGACTGCCTCTTGGCCCAGGGCCCCCAAGTAATGATCCCTTCTTCCCGCCCTTCCTCCCTCCCTCTCTTCCTTCTTTTCTTCCTTTCTCTCTCTTTTTTCTTTATCTCTTTTAGCTACAGGGCTAATATACAAAATATGATCCAATCCTCTCTGCCACAGATGGGGAGACTGAGGTCTAAGAAGGGACTCAGGTCCCACTGCGAAGAGCTAAGCAAAGAAGGGGGGTTGCTTAGTTCCGGCGCCTGGTCAGTCTCCCAGTCTCCCAGAGCTGGCTGGAATGGGGAAGCTGACAGGGCCAGGGGGCTAGCATGGTGTGTGGCTTCGGGGACAAAGCCGGCACCCATAAAGGACATTCCAGAGGACAGATGTGGAACAGCCTGAGCTGCCCAAGAAAGAGGGTTCTCTATTCCTGGGGTGTGCAAATAGGGCCTGCGTAGCCACTTGGCCACTCAGAAGGAATTTGCATATGCCTCTCTGGTGTTCTTTGACCCCAGCCTCCGCCACCTGCCCTGTCCCTGTCTGGTGCCCCTGCACAGAGAGCTTGCTATTCTCAGGACCTGCACGGTATGTCCCAGCCACCTTCCCTCCTGCCCCCACTTCCTGTCTCCTGGTGGGACCCTCCTTCTCCACTGGGAGACAGGAGTTTTTCTTCCCATTTTAAAGATGAGGAAATGGATACCCAGAGGCTTGAGTTTTTTGCCCCAAGTCAGTTCAGCAATTGTGAGTTCATTCTCTGCTGTGTGCTCAGCTCTGTGTTCCGAAGTGAATCCCGAGCAGGACCCGGTTCCTGCTCCACGAACCAGGGGCTCCTTGGGCTGGGACCGTGACTGTCAAACTCACCAGGGTGCTTTATAAAGGGCATGGCCCAGAGCAGACATTCAGTGAACATTTGTGTAAAAACTCCTGAGTGACTAAATCAGTGACTGGGGAGCTTGGCAGAAAGACCATGGATCTGGAGCTAGAGACCCAGGTTCAAGCCATGGCCCTGCCTTTGGGACCTTGAGCACTCATGTGGACTGTGATGCTTTATTAAATACCACCTGGTGTGCTTTTCCAGCCTTGGAGTTCAGGAGACTCTCAGGAAGGCATTGTGAACCTCTTTTCCGGATGAGGAAACTGAGGCTCAAGACAAGTTAATGACCCCGAGTCATGCAGAAACGGACTTAGAGCCCAGTATCCATTACTCCTGCTGGGGCGTTGGTCTTCTCCTCCTCTAGAGGCTGTGTCCCCCCTCCCCGGACCTGACATGGCTGTCGCCCACAGGTGGCCTGAGTGTGGGTGACTTCCGGAGGGTGCTGATGAAGACAGGGCTGGTGCTGGTGGTGCTGGGCCATGTGAGCTTCATCGCAGCCGCCCTCCTCCACGGCACCGTGCTGCGCTATGTGGCTAGTCCCCACGACGCGGTGGCCCTGCAGTACTGCGTGGTCAACATCCTCTCTGTCACATCTGCCATTGTGGTATGGCTGGGCCAGGAGGGCAACTGGAGAGAGGGGGGACCAGGGGCTTGAAAGGCCTTTGGTGAGTCCCCACCCCGAGCCTGGGGTTGGGAGCAAGTGGAGCACCCCACGCCTTCTGCTCTGCACCTTAGCCACTGGTCAAGGCTCTCAGACTCTCTCTCTGCCTCAGCTGCCTTGTCTATAACATGGGGGAGGGAACAGTGTCCACTTAGAGGGTCCCGGTGAGAATTAATGAGTAGCCGGCACCTGGTCCGTGCTCACTACTGTGAGCTAAGACTAACGTGACAAGAGGAAAGTATCGGGGTGCCTGGGTGGCTCAGTGGGTTAAAGCCTCTGCCTTCAGCTCAGGGTCCTGGGATTGAGCCCCAGGTCCCTCTGCCATGATCTCAGGGTCCTGGGATCGAGCCCCGAATCAGGCTCTCTGCTCAGCAGGGAGCCTGCTTCCTCCTCTCTCTCTGCCTGCCTCTCTGCCTACTGGTGATCTCTGTCTGTCAAATAAATAAAATCTTAAAAAAAAAAAAATAAGAGGGAAGTAGTGAAGGCAGTGCTGGCAAAAGGAAGGAGCATCAGCTCAGCTTGGGAGGGTCCAAGAGGGATCCCAGAGGCGGAGGCCCCAGAGCAGGGTATTGATGGATGAGTAGGAGTTCAAAGATAGGCTGTAATTACCATAACCCAGATGGGAGGCATGCCAGAGCGGGCAAGTAGGAGAGGAAGCTGGGATGACATTCCAAATGCAGAGAATGGCAGAGGCAAAGGTGTGGAGGTGGGAATGGTTCAGATCTATTCTGGAGACCCGGAAAAAGCCGACTTGGCAGGAACTCAGCATTAGGCTTGGTCTGTAAGATGTGCTTAACGAATGGTGGCCAGGGTTAGGCCCGGATGCCAGTACCTGTTTGAGGAATTCGGGAATGAAGGAGCCCGGTATTCTCAAGATCAGAAAGGTCTTTCCCACCTGTTGGCAGAGGTGGCGGCAGCCTTGGGGCAACAGCCATATTTCAAAGTCTGGAGTTCTGTCTCTAAGCCTGTTCTGTCCTCTACATAGTGAAGGTCATACAGCCTGCTGGCCCCAAGCCTTGGGTGAATGGAGATCACAGGCCCCAGCAAGCAGGACAGACTCATTCAGTGGGACAGGGCCAGGCTGCAGAGCTGTGTGCGGTGTCCCCTGGCCTTGTTGCTACTCTGGTTCCTTCCTCTTGCCAGCCTTAAGGAAGTCAGGGAAAGCGGCGAGGTGAGCCAGGGTCAGGAGATCCACCAGGGATGGGCCCTGGGCCACACCCCTTCGGCTTTGCCCTCATTCTCTCAGCTAATCCTCCCAGCTTCCCGGCAACACGGAGCCTCGGAGCCTCGACTATCCCCACTGCCCGGATGGGGAGACCACGCTGAGGATTCACCCAGAGCCCTGCTGATACAAAGAAACCAATTGGATTTGAAAATGTTGTGTCTGACACCAAAGCTAGTGTCCTTTCTGTGAGCTCATACTGGGGCGTGGAGCTTGGCCCCAGCAGGATGGGGCACTAACTTGTGTCCGCTTGGGGAATTAGAGACATTGCTGGTTCTCTATCACACACCTGACTCCCACCGGCCCAGTGCACAGAATTCTACTCCGAAACATTTCCTTTTTTTTTTTTTTTCCTTTAAGTAGACTCCATACGTAATCTGGAGCCCAAAACAGGGCTTGAACTCAGGACCTTGAGATCAAGACCTGAGCTGAAACCACGAGTTGGAGGCTTAACCGACTGAGCCCCCCTGGGCGCCCCTACTCCACAAAGTTTTCTGACTTGTTAAAATAACAATTTTGTTTTTAATTCCTTGCCAGTCGAGTTACTTAGTTTCTTCCAGAATCTTTCCCTCTCCAGGGAGATGTGTCGTATATATTCTGTGACATTGCCCCTGTAGCCCTGGGCGACACAGGTGCCTGTTTGAGATACACAACTAGAAGCAGTGGGGAGTCATGGAAGGTTGTAGGCAGGGGGTTACTAGGTACCAGAAACGTCTCTTCAGGACTGGACTGTGAGGAGGCAGTGGCTTCGTGCAGACAGAGGTAGTGGGGCCAAAGCAGAACTGGGCTGGGGGGCTGGGGTCTGGGAGGGCCAGAGATGGCGTCAGTGGAGTCTTTGTCGAGAGTGGCCCTCACACCCTGCCTACTGTCCTTCCCCACAGGTCATTACCTCAGGCATTGCAGCCATTGTGCTGTCCTGCTACCTCCCCAGCATCCCCCTGGTATGTGGCTCCTCCTGGGAGGGGCTGTGGGGGTGGCTCAGGGGCAGCAGCTGCCCCCAAGGGCCTCACCTGCCTGGAGGGGGCAAGGCTTACCCCACAGGGGCCAAGCCTGACATCTGTTGACCAGTGGCCTCTCCCATCCAGCGCTGGACAGTGTTTAGCTCAAGTGTGGCCTGTGCCCTTCTGTCTCTGACCTGTGCTCTGGGCCTCTTGGCCTCGATCGCCGTGACCTTTGCCACCCAGGGCCGGGCCCTGCTGGCTGCCTGTACTTTTGGAAGCCCCGAAGTGCTCGTACTGGTGCCTGACTGTCCCTTCGACCCCACACGCATTTATGTGAGTGCTTAGGCCTGGGGTTGGCAGGGGGTGGGGGTAAGGGAGCACGTGGGGGGTGGGGGGTGACACCCAAGTGCTCCTCAGAGGTGGGAGCGGATTCTTAGAGACACCCCCTCTATCCTGCCCCTTGTGCTCCCCCCGCAGAGCTCCAGCCTGTGCCTCTGGGGCATCTCGCTAGTGTTCTGTGTGACAGAGAGCGTGTTTGCCGTGCGCTGTGCCCAGCTCGCCCACCAGCTGCTGGAACTGAGGCCCTGGTGGGGGAAAAACAGCCACCACATGGTAAGGCCTGCCACCCCCTCCATCAGCCCTGACTCCCCGTATTTGTGGGAGCCCTTGCTGGGGAGTCCAGGCTGGTCTGCCCCTACCCCTTGCCTTGAGAAGTGGGGCAAAAGTTTTTTTCCCCAAGACAAAAGGGAGCAGCTTGGTCATAGCGCTGAAACCTGGCTCCCCCCAACCAAGGGCCAGGATGAATCTTGAGGGGGAGGGAGGGGTATCTGGGCTCAAACTGGGGTTCCTCCAAGGGTATGGCCTGGCTCTTGCATGGGAGGGAATAGTGATGCCCCTTTGCCCCCGAGATCCTCGCAGCCCTACCAGCCCCTAGATGTCCTGGAGGAGCAGACCCAGAGCCTGGCACCCTCTTGTGTCTCCGCAGAGGCAGGAGAGCCCAGAGCCTGTGGAGGGCCGTGACCTGCTGAGCTGCACCAGCTCTGAGCCACTCACCCTCTGAGAGCCGATACCCCGTCCAGGCCCCATGACCACTAGGGCCCTACAACCCAGTCTGCACTGTGGCCAGGCCAGGATTTCTGGAGCAGACCTGAGAGGGCTCACCGGTCACTCAGGGACCCTGGTGGGGCTTTCCACCCACTCCCGCAGCTACCCAGCCCACTGCACTGAAATGAGACTTTATTCTGAAGTTATTAAAAAGAACAGAGATGCTCCACGTGGATGCATGCAGCAGGGGAAGGGACATGGGAGGGGCTGTGCTGCTTTCCCACAAGGGTGCTGTGGTTGGGGCTCTGGGGGTGTCTGCCCATCTGTGGGCCTGTGTGTGTGTGTGAGGGAGGAAACATACACAGCAGAATCAGTGGGTCTGTGTTCATCCAAGTGCTGGAAGGCAAGCGGGGGGTTCATGGGACCCACAGCTGGGAGGCTGGAACCCCAAGGTTTTCCTCTTGTTTTCCTGGCCTCCAGGAGAACAAGAGCAGTGGAACAGGAAGGGTTGAGGCCCTCCTGCAGGAAAGGATGGCTCAAGGAAGCTTTTTCCTCAAACCCCCGCCACCTCTGGAATCCTTCTCTCCTTTCCAGATGAAGACAGCCTCCACACCTGGGAATACTTCCCCCTTCCACCCTGATTGAGAGCTACAAGGGTGGGGTGGGGGTTGGGGAGCTTGCCGGTGGTTGGGGGAGGAGCTTGAGGCTGCGTGGGAGTAGGGGAGGCGTGGGGTGCGTGGGGGGATGCGTGGGTGGGGGAGAATGGTCGAAGTTCTGTCTGGGCGAGGGAGGGCAGACCCAGCCAGAGCCTGCGTCTCAATCCTTGCCTAAGGGAGATACTGCCTCTCGGATTGACGGTGCTGACCTCTTGCTTGCTTGGGCCTTAGGGGTACTGCGGAGTTCCCTTCTCCAGTGCAGGCCCTGGGGGGGGTGCCCAGTGTGACCCCCAGGCTGGATGGACACAAGGGAGAGGAAGCTGATAGCCGGGAGAGGGCCAGTGAAGGCAGGGAGGAGGGGGAACCTGGGTCCTCTCGCTCAGAACTGGGAGGCGCTGCTGGGGTCGCACTGCAGCAGGCGCACGATGGACGGGTCGCTTTTGGCCCCACGGATGAACTCCTCCAGGGACAGCTTGCCTGCGGGGCAAGGGGAGCAGTGATGGGGGACCGCGCAGCGAGGGGAGGCAGAGCAGAGCAGCGGGAGAGGAAGGGGGAGTGGCACCCGCCCCGCCCCTGCCCCCTCACCGTCGTTGTTTGTGTCCATTTGGCGGAAGATTTTCTCGGTCCGCTTTTCTGGGGTCGACTCGTCCTCCGGCATCTTCATCACAGACGAAACCATCTTGTAAATGGCCTGAGGGGCGGGAGGGGGAGACAGGGAGTGAGAGGAGCCTGCCCGACCCTCCACCCCCACCCCCATCTTCCCAAACCGCCCCCAGACACGCAGATTGCAGCTCCTCTTGGGTGAGGTGGAGATGTGGTCACTGAGAACCGGAAGGGCGGGGGAGGGGGGCTTCAGGAAGGACTACCTAGGAAGGCTTCCCAAAAGAGGGGGGCTATTGGAGCGGTTCCCGACCAAGTTCCCTTGGAGCGCCAGGTGGGAAAGGCATTCCTGGCAGAGCAATCTGCACGTGTAAAGGAGCGGCGGCGGGAAGCTCTGAGTGCGCACCGAGAATTTGGGGGTGCCTACGTGAAGGGGGACAGGAGAGATGTTGGAGGATATCAGGGCCCAGAGAGCGAAGGGGCTAGAACACCCTGCGCCGCGGGCTCCAGGGTAAGTACCGGCTTAGCGCAGCTTTTCTGAAACTTCGGGGCTCTGGACTGCCGGCGCTCGGGGGGCCCGCAGGGGGCGCTGGGCGGAGTGGGTGACATTGGGCTGCGGTGCCTCTGTGGCCGGCAGGGGGCGCAGGGACGCACCAAGGGCTGGAGGGCCCGGAGCAGCTGGGCTCAGAGCGGTAGGAGACGTTATGCAAATAAACTCAAGTGAGCATCTGCCAAGGGCGGGGACAGCATGCGCTCAGTTGAGCCCAGAACTGCAGCTGCCACGTGCAGGATCTCTGGAGGCAACGCGAAGGAGGGTATTTGTGCTAAATGTACACAGAGCACGTAGGGCTTGGCCTGTGGGATAGGTGGGTCCCAGCGCCCCAGAACTCAAAAGACCAGACCGATGGCCCCAATCTTCCAGCTTTCTGCTACTGACACATCCGCCAAGAAGCCTCCCTTCTTCCATCCCAAAAACTTCCCTTGCCTTAGATCCGGCTCAGCCTCCCTGCTGGTCTCTTCCCTGCGCTGTCCTAGGTCTGTCCCCTGCACAGCCTCTGAAATCTTTCCAAACACAGATCTCCGCGGCGTCCTCAACCCAATGGGCCGCCCCCTCGTTCCCATCACACACCCAGGCTTCCCTCCAAGCCCACCGTGCACCCAGCTCCTTCTGGATACTGCCCCACGCTCCTTCTGCTGCCTCCCACTCTTCCTTGGGAGGCAACTTACATGGCACTTCCTTAGGGAGACCTTCTCTGATCCCGGCTGGGCCAAGGCCCATATGCTGGCCCAGAGTCTCCAGGGCTTTTCCTTTGGGGACACCTCTCTGGAAGTAATTTTGCCTTTGTAGGATTGCTCCTAGTCCCCAGCCTACAGATAAAGATCATGGACATCTAGCTAGTGCCCATATCCTCAGAACTCAGCACAGTGCCTGGCATCTGGCAGGGACTCCACCGTTTAAAAGTTTAAAAGCCTTTGGCACCTCTCACTGCTCTTTCTACGAAGTCCAAACCATTCAGCCCCAGGAACTCAAGGTGCTTGCTGACCTCTCCATCACCAGGCCTCCCCTGGTAGGTGATCCTGCCACAACCAAACACCTCTACTCCTTTTGGGTTTCCCAGAATGGACAGCTTCCGCCTGGAACAGTAACCCTGGCTACCACTTACCGGACACCTGCTGTGTGCCGGATACTTCACACACATTATTTCTGAACTTCACAACAGCACTGAAAAGCAGGTATCATGATCCCCACTTTCCAGATAAGAAATGGGGGCTTGGAAAGGGGGATTGATGCCAGAGACTGAATTAGAATCCACTCTTTCATAGCTGCTGGATAGATGCTTGGGGCTGGTAATGACCAGCCGGGACTTTGGAGGACGATGTGCCTGTAGTGGCATCCTGCTTCCACTAATCACTATATCAGACAAGTCCTTAACCTCTGTGAGCCTCAGTTTACTCATGTCTCCCCCATGGGGACTGCCTCGAGGATTGAAGGAGACTGTTTGTATAGTTGGGATAGTAGCTGGCTAGAGTAGGTGGTCAGTAAACAGAAGCTTCTAGTATCATCATTCCTCATCCACTGCATCTTCAGGTCTTGCCTGCCTTTCAGTCCCCTAGACTCCCAGATGCCGCATTTAGCTAGTCCGCGTGGGCTGCTGCACACTTGTTCTCTCCCACCGGAGTAGGGGCCCCCAAGAGGCCAAGAGGCAGCATTTTCCCTTGTAGTGTGCCCACCACCGGACCATAGGGCTGGGTCCCAAGAAGGATGGGCGAGTGACTTAGAGAGTGACTGCTCCAATCATGACAAGCCTCTCCTGGGCCTCCTAATTAATTGTCTGGAATTGCTGTGCACTTGTTTCACGGGAACTGGCTTGTAATTAATCAGTCACTGGGGTTTGCAGAGTTCTGACTGCACCGGCCGTCTCGGGGCCCGCGGCTGCCATAAAGGAAATGAGGGCGTAGGTAGCAGAGGCCAGCCAGGAAGGGATCCTAAGGATGCCCAAGGAATGAGGCTGGCTTGACTGACGTCTTGGGCTTGGCATCTCCCGCTGGGCCGAGATTTACCAGTCGTTACCAGTGTAACCACGCTAAATGGTAAAACGTAACATCCCTCATATTGGTTGGTATCCAATCCCTTGAGGGATCTTCCATCACCCCACCTGCCCCAACCTTTCCACCAGGACCCCCAGAACGTCCCACTAGCCATCAGCTAGAGAGTTAATGCCTGGCCCATGGGGAGTCACAGACAGACATTAAGGCTTTACGCCTAACGATAGGCAGGGAGGGCATCGCATGAGCTAGATGCTTTGCAAGAGAGAAGCCAAAGCGAAAATCCAGGATGGGTTGGATGAGATGGAAGGGGAAGCAGCAGAGCTGAGGGACCAGAGGAAAGATTTCAGAGAGGCAGAAGAAAAGGGAGCAAGAGCATGTGCAAAGCTGTGCGGTGGGATTACTCGGGGCATATCCCAAGGATGTTGAAAAGGCCATTCTAGCTAGAGTAGAGCAGAGGAGACAACAGTAACTGACAACTTCTAACATTTTCCGGTAACAATTAGATGCTGGACCGTCTCCTGGAGCCCCTATCCCACTCTGTACCTACAATAGTCTGGTGAAATAGGAAACTAACACCCCACCACTTGGGTGAAGAAACCCAGGCTCGGGCAAAAAGTGAACTAGGAACTGGATAGATAAAACAGAACCAGAGGCCTGATGGACTTCGATGACAGGCCAAAGGGGTAGGCACTTGGGAAGTTTTCTGAGGGAGAGCTAACATGTGTTAAACTTAAACTTGTACTAAGAAAGGGCATTCACATCAGGTCCTTAAATCTCCCTGTGAGGTCAGTATCATCACCCCATTTTACAAATGAGAGATCTAAGAGTTGAAGCCAACTCCAGAACTGGAAGCCAGACCCATTTCTAAGGGCAGCTTGGAGTAGTGGTCAGCTTGAACTTAACTCCAGTGACATGCTGTGTGACCTTGAGCAAGTTACTTCACCTCTCTGAGCCTCGTGGAGTTAATGAAAGGAGGCACCGGCTCATGGATATAGACATCTCAGTTAGTACTAGGCTCTTAATGGGCCCTCAGTCAGTTGAAAGGTGGCCGGTATCCAGATGGGAAGTGGATGGTGGAGCCAGGTGGTCCACTCATGGGCTGTGTGGCCTTGGGTGAATGTCTTTACTTCTCTGACCATCCATTTTCTCCTGCGTAAATGAGGATCAATGAAACATCGCTGGCCTGTACTCTGAAGAAATGTCAAGTTTTGAAAAACAAAGGCTGAGAGGCTGTTACAAATTAAAGGCAACTAAAGAGACATGACAACAAAATGCAACATGTGATCCTGGACCTGGGTAAAAAGGGCTATAAAGGACATTTTGAGACAGTTGGCAAAATTGGAATATGGTAAGTTAGATAATAGCATTGTTTCTACATTAAATGTCCTGACTTCGATAATCATATTATGGGTTATGT